GCAGTAGTCACAGTGGTAGGGTTTTTCTCCACTGTGCACCAATTGATGCCGCTTCAGGTTTCCAGAAGTGGTGAAGAGCTTCCCACAGCCCTCACAGCTGTATCGCGCCTCATCTGTGTGTCGCTTTCTGTGCAGGTTTAGCAGACTGACTTGCCGGTAACTCTTTCCACATGTGGAGCAGCAGTATGGCTTTAGAGGACTGGAGACACAGAAACATGTAGGAACAAGTGTGAGGAAAACTGCACATTGTGAAGTTTTCATGTCTCATAGTTGACAAGTCATATGAGGCTGTAAAGGAAGAGCATTAGACTCTAAAATGCTCACCTGTGTGTTTTCTCATGTGCTTTGCAGGCAGCTGGGTCTGAGAAGGCTTTATCACAGTCTCTGCAACTAAATGGCTTCTCACCAGTGTGAATGCGCATGTGACGTTTAAAGTTGCCTGTGTGTGTAAACTTTTTCCCACAGTCCTGCAAGAATCAGATTACCATTATGAAAATACAACAGAAAAGATGACTATTAAACAAGACATAGTGAAAGTATATCATTTTCCTATATATATTTTTTTAACATTCTTAAATTAATATTAAGTTTGGGGTCAATTTTATTACTGTTTTTGAAAAGTCTCTTATGCTTATCAAGGCTGTGTTTTAATATATTTTAAAATGTAATTTTCAGCATCACTACTCCAGTCTTCAGTGTCACATGATCCTTCAGAAAGCATTATAATATGCTGATCTGGTGAATAAACATTTCTTATTAATATCAATGTTGAAAACAGTTGTGCCGTTTAATATTTTTGTGGAACCTGTGATAGATTTATGAGAACAAATATATATGTTACAAATTGTACTATATGTATTGGTTTAGTTTTATAAAATATATCACATATTTTGTCAAATCTATTTTCTAAAATGTTAAGATGTGGAAATTACCGATAATAAAGAAAGAGCAGTTGTGTCCACTTTTGACTGATACTGCATAACAAACAGGCCTATAGGACAAAGACAATAAGGATTACAAAACTGAAGAATCTCTCACCTCACATTTGTGTATGACAGAGCCATACGCTCTGGACTCACTGCGCTCGGCCACAACTGCAGACATCTTCCCATCCGAACCCATTGTTTCTCCATCCTCTGTCTCCATTTGCTCTTCTCCTTCTTCCTGCTCCTCCTCCTCTGCTTCTTCTTCATCCTCTACATCCTCCTCTTCTACCATGTTCTCCACGCTCTCAGCTTTTGACATACTTTCCTCGGCATCATCAACTTTTAGCAAAAATGTTAACAGTTATGAAAACCTAAACATAAAAATGTGAGGTCAGTGTATAGTTCTATAAGGCAGAAATTACCTTCTGTGGCCATGTGAACAGTGGCATATTTGGACTTGCTTCTCCTTGTGCTAACAAATGATCGTTTAGCTGCTACCCTCTGAGAGACTTCTGTAGGAGCGGTAAAGTGTCACACAAGTTTTAAAAGATGGTTAACATTAGCAAAAGCATTAAGAGAAGAGAACAGACACTAACTAGGAGTGTAGTCAGCATCAGAAGGGTCATCTTCGTATTGTGGAATTTCTTCCTCTGTTTCAGTCTTGTTTTTTTTTTGTCTTGTTTTGGATGGCCCACTGATTTTGCTGACAGCTCTCAGAGTCTTTTTGCTTTGCTTCTCAGTCGTGTCACTTGCAGCCTCCTTGGTTTCTGTTGTCTCTGACTGTACAGGAGCTTTCTTCACTTCAGAAACTGCATCCTGAGTCACTGAATGACTCTCCTGCTCCTCCTGGGAACTCGAATCCTCGGGTTTTCTCAGAGATCTCGGCTGTTCCTCCACCGGCTCGGTAACTACTACTTTACATGACCATAAATGAGAAATGGTGGCGTGAGAGACTTATAACTTCAGTACCATCTTTAACTAATGGCTTATGAAAATACAAACTCAACACTAACCAGGCTTAGATGTTGCAGGGACAGTCAAGGACTGAAAAGCTGAACAAGCATTGACAATTTCCTGCATCTGAAGGAAAGTAGCTACAGCAAGAACATCCTCTATGTTCTGAGGGTTTATAGTCAGCTTTGCAGTGTACATAAACTCAAGGACCTGCTCAAGACCTGAAAAAAAAAAAAAAAGATTGAACCTATAAAACAAAGGCAGAAAACAATAAAAAAAAAAAAATATATATTAAAATGTAATTTGTTGTTTCAAAACATAAAATAAGGTATTTTAAGAAATGTTTCGGCGTTTTGGTTCCCAACGTTCTTCAAAATATTTTCTTTGGTGTTCCATAGAAGAAAAAAAAGCATTTGGAATGACATGAGAGTTAGTAAATGGTGACAGAATGTATATTTTTAGGTTGGACTATCCCTTTAATCAAAGTTCTCTGTAAGAATGCAAGCCTACCTGCAGCATTGCTGATATCAAGATGAACAACATCTTTCTGGTCCAAAAAGAGTGTGCGGAAGTAAGCACTACATGCTGCCAGCACAGCCTTGTGGGCCTTGAAGTCTACTCCATCCACCACAAAAGTGCAGTCACAAAGAAGACCCAACTGACGTTGTTCATTAAGCTGCCCAAGGACTTTCCCACTATGCCAAGGAAAGTCCATAACTGATGGAGTGGACTATAGCACTTTAGGCAACAGTATGCTGATCATAAAGGAAAAAGAGAAAGAAAAATGACTATTGTTGCTTTTCCATTTGAGGCTCACAAACAAAATGTCCCAGTTTGCAAGGATGTAAACAAATTGGGGTGAACCAGGGCCTTCATCTGGTCAACATTGTCCCAAACCCATTCATAACATTTCAATCCCTGCCCTATGAATTTTACAATTAAACATAAGTAAAAGTTTAAGAACAACCATAACTGGTCGACCACTTATAAGTGTTATATCAGTACCATTGAGATAATATAATTTCTGTTGTCCAGAATTAGTTTTAACTTCTTATATTGCATTTTTTATTTTATTTAATACAATTTAATACAATAATACAATTGTATGCTTTTGCCATATGTGTGT